ACTGGACTCTTTTGCGCCTTCCTTCCTTCGCCTGTTCACTACGATGCATCCGCGGAAATGGAGCACGTCAGCCAAATCCAGGTCGCCTATTGGGTAAGAGCCTACCTCACCAGCACCGCGATCGTAAACAATAAATAGCCGGCGAATGTTTCCTAAAAGTTTTGTTAAATAATATTCAGATCCACATTTTGTAGCATAATTAGAGATGTGTGGCGAAAATTGCCAAATTTGATAATGCTGAGAGCCAAGCGCCATCTATCGTGTGGTAAACGAAGCAACTACTGCGCGTGCGCAGTAGGGCAGGGCCGACAGTTGGGTGGCGGCGACCGACGAACATTTATTTTCTTTGTTTTCCTTCCTCTCAAAACTCTGACTGACTGAACGTTTATTTTTCTACGTGTTCTTCCCGCGCGTGCCGACTTCAAGCAGCAAGAAAACAGTACTTAAAACAGACCACGACGAACAAGAACGCTGGATCCACCGACTCCGACGAAGCGAGCTGCTCAGAATATAGGCCTAGCAGGCATTCCGACTCGGCGCTGCGTTGCTTCGTCGCAAGACCGTCTGCCTACGGCCGGCTGGCGTGCTAAATGGAATATGCCCGCGCGACCCTTGTGGACCCTTCCCGTATTATAGTTTGATCACTGACCTCAATACTAGATTAAGAGGTGAGGTCAATCTCTTCCCCTTGTTTTCCGAGGCAGTGTTGACGAGCACTCGTCGAAAAGGGACTCTCGTCGATTCTATCTTCTTGTTTTGTGTGATATAGAGCTGAAATAAACGCCGTATGGATTACCTTCGTAACACGGTATGTACACTTTCTTATTGGTATGCCATTTTTATTCTGACAGACTGCACGTCACTGTCGAGCTATAATAGTTCGTGGGAGGTATACGTACAACCCCGGTCCAACCTTTCTTTGCCGAGTGTCGCGTCAGTATCGAGTTGCAATCGTAAAAGAACGGTCGCGAAGCGCTTACAAACAGCGCGAATACAGCACTTCCATCAAGCGCGCGCGTCCGCTCCGAGTGTAAACAGGTATTTATGTGGCTCTTGCTGACACTCGTAGTTCAAACGTATCTTTTTTAAGGTCGGCTCGCTCCTGCATCTCCGAGGCCGCGTAAAACGCCATCTACGTCGCTTTGCAAACGACTGACACGGGCCGGCCCTTCTGCCAACAATGACAGGGTGGTTGACTTCTGGAGTCTTCACCGGAAGACTCGCTGCACTTCCCAACAGGCATACCGGCGTATGGGACTAGTCCCATGCTGTCGCTGTAGCGCAACATATCTCATTGAATTTCGCTCAGCTGCGATGCGGCGATGAGAGGCGCCGATTCAGGAAATACGTCGGTGACATCAGCGCAGTAAAACCTACCGGCGCACCCCAACTCGTTGCCGTTAACACTCCCATTCTCCTACTGCCGACAGAACTTCCGGTTCCGGAAACGGCTTGTCTTGCGGTCAGTTGGAGAGAATGAAAAAGTCGATATTTCAATAATTTTTTGTGTAGAAGTTAATAAACCGAGGCGAAAACGGATGCCTGTTCGGCATTCAGTGAACATTGACGGTTTAATGTAAAAGTTATCTGGAAAAAGTAAAAAGGTCATTTCATGGTCCCTTTAAAAAAGATACGTTTGAACTACGAGTGTCAGCAAGAGCCACGTAAATACCTGTTTACACTCGGAGCGGACGCGAGCGCTTGATGGAAGTGCTGTATTCGCGCTGTTTGTAAGCGCTTCGGGACCGTTCTTTTACGATTGCAACTCGATACTGACGCGACACTCGGCAAAGAAAGGTTGGACCGGGGTTGTACGTATACCTCCCACGAACTGTTCTAGCTCGACAGTGACGTGCAGTCTGTCAGAATAAAAATGGCATACCAATAACAAAGTGTACATACCGTGTTACCAAGGTAATCCATACGGCGTTTATTTCAGCTCTATATCACACAAAACAAAAAGATAGAATCGACGAGAGTCCCTTTTCGACGAGTGTTCGTCAACACTGCCTCGGAAAACAAGGGGAAGAGATTGACCTCACCTCTTAATCTAGAATTGAGGTCAGTGATCAAACTACAATACGGGAAGGGTCCACAAGGGTCACGCGGGCATATTCCATTTAGCACGCCAGCCGGTCGTAGGCAGACGGTCTTGCGACGAAGCAACGCAGCGCCGAGTCAGAATGCCTGCTAGGCCTATATTCTGAGCAGCTCGCTTCGTCGGAGTCGGTTGATCCAGCATTCTTGTTCGTCGTGGTCTGTTTTAAGTACTGTTTTCTTGCTGCTTGAAGTCGGCACGCGCGGGAAGAACACGTAGAAAAATAAACGTTCAGTCAGTCAGAGTTTTGAGAGGAAGGAAAACAAAGAAAATAAATGTTCGTCGGTCGCCGCCACCCAAATAACTGTCGGCCCTGCCCTACTGCGCACGCGCAGTAGTTGCTCCGTTTACCACACGATAGATGGCGCTTAGCTCTCAGCATTATCAAATTTGGCAATTTTCACCACACATCTCTAATTATGCTACAAAATGTGGATCTGAATATTATTTAACAAAACTTTTAGGAAACATTCGCCGGCTATTTATTGTTTACGATCGCGGTGTTGGTGAGGTAGGCTCTTACCCAATAGGCGACCTGGATTTGGCTGACGTCCTCCATTTCCGCGGATGCATCGTAGTGAACAGGCGAAGGAAGGAAGGCGCAAAAGAGTCCAGTTTTCTTTTAAAAGTTCTATAGCAAATAATTTTTTGGCTCCCTATTTTTGCGTTTTTGTGTTTCTTTTCACACCTTTTACGACGTGCGGTGGATGAAACTCGATTTTAAAATCATTTCATGGTCCCTATAACCACCTTGGTCGTTCACGACGCAAGGACCGTCCCATTTAGCCATGGAGGTTAGAAGTACTAGGAGGGGGCACGTTGCAATATTGGTGAAGCCTAGTCATAAAAAGTTTAAACGATTTTGTGCCCAGCGTGACCGCAGATCTGTCTTGTGATTGGTGCGCGTGACATGTCAGGTGTGAGATGGATGGTTGATTGTAGAAGGACCTCTTCCAGGCTTGCGCGCGCTCCGTCCGGTAGGTTTTATCAGATCGAAGGCTAGACTGTGGTGTATTCTAGTACCCCATAGCAAGACCAATGCTAGCTACGGTCACGTGATGTGGTCACGTTGGCATGGTAAGTGAGGAGAGTAAGGAGGAAAATGAGAAAGAGGCGAGGCATCAAGGGAGCATGGCTTGTGGAGGCTACGCGGCCGACGTCATGCCCTCTCCTACCCTTCTATTCTCCATGTATTTAGCGCACTCTGGGCGGCACCATTTTGTTCGACAGCAGCGCCCTCTCCATACATCCGGGAAATCCAGCGGGTTCGGCGCGGTAAAACGAGAGAGAGGGCACGCGCCAGACTCCGCTAGCCATAGAGATCGTACATACTAACTCCGCTAGCAGACGAAAAAACGGGAGGTTGCCATTCTCCATCTTTGGGTTGTATCGGCGGGCTGTACGGAACGTCGAACTCTCGGTCATGGCTGCCGTTGTGAAGTGGTTCGCGTTCTTAGAATATTTATGGCTACTCCAAAATCAGCCTGGAGCTCTCTGTTGTTCTACTTCGGTAAATGATCAACTGACATATCCTTTTTCCGTTACTTAAGTAGCAGTTGAGTCAGCCGGCAGCACTACCCTCAACTACTGCGTGTATTGCGACAGGAGAGCACGTTTTTATTATTTCAGACATCCACTCATGGTCGCTAAAGGCCTGCACGAGTACGAACTTTGTATAGTAAAAAAGGTACAGCCACCGGATTCATTTTTCCCCGGAGAGACCGGCCAGTCTAACACAGTTCTCCCTATTTTTTTTTTTTTTTTTTTTTTTATTTGCACGCAGATAACAGCGCAATTGGACTCCGTTAGTCTTTTTTATCTAGCATAGTAATACACGATAACTGGCATACCAAACTCTGCGCATCTGCTCTTGAAATTCCCAAAATGACGCGATTTTAAACAGAGTTTGTATGCCAGCCACTGGGCGGAGCAGACGACATACGGGCGAGAGGGGGAGGGCTTTTTTTTTTTTTTTCTCTTTTTACCCTTTCTGCTATGACCCTAATGCCGGGTCTACGGCGGGCGGCGACGGAGACGACCAAGTCCGGTAGCGACAACAAAACAGTAGCGACAACAAAAACACATTAATGCTTATGCACAATTTTCTTATATATTCCTAAAATGCATTTAAAGATGCAAATTTTTATATATTATGCGCCGTCTTAAATGAAGTAGTTTAGTAAATAATTTGTGAGTGTGTCTCTAAAACGTGTTTATTTGACTTGCTTCGTAAATCCTTGTGCATAGAAATCTTTCATTGTGTTTTTAAAATTCTGTGTATATGTAAACCTTTCATAAAATATATAGAAAAAAATATTACTGCGTGCATGCTTCGGTGTACAAATGATGGCTGTGCAAAGAACCGACCTTGACAATCTCCACGCCTCGAAATTTTATATCTCCGGAATGAAATTAGTTACGACATTCTCGTACAGCTGAATGCTCCTACCAAGGACATGGCTATCACATATATTTTTTACGAAAATATGTAAAAAAAAAAAAAAAATTTGACTGGGACCATTGTCGTAGGATCTGAAGTGAGTTGTTACAATTTCCCAGATCTGCATTAACACAAACATAATGTCGAGTCTTTTAGTGTTGATGTGCAAGTTTTATTAAAGGTTTTGATGTTAAATGTATTATTCAATCAATTAAGAAATTAATACGGTTTGAAATGGAGTCCTGTCGGTGTCTGCTGGCTTGTGACACTCAATGTTTTCGTAGTACTATATACGCGATCACATGTCAGAGGTAGTCTGTTTCTCTCTCCTCAGTGCGAAGCATGACTATGACCTTCGCACCCAAAATAAGACAGACGATGCAATGAAAATTAATTATTTTTTGAGCGGGTACAATGCAACGTACTACATGAAACGGCAAGAACCAAGAGTGTTTTACTCACCCTTCAACGTTGTGTATCAAAGTCGATCGATACTTTGCCGGAACTCTCGTGAAATTGCGTAGTATGTCAATCAGTGATAACCTGGATGCGTGCTTGTCCTAAATAAAAAAATAAAAAAAAATAACAATAACGCGTTTGAACCTCATGGCAGCGCGCAGGCGGTACGATAGAACGAATGATTCAGGTTCAGGGAACCAATGCCTTACCTTAAGGTATTTCCTCCATTCCCTGAAGGCGCGGTTCATTTCTCTTGTGTACTTGGCATGATGGCCGAAGTAGTGTATCCTGAGCGTTTCTTCGTCGATATAAGGCTCCAATGCGTCAAACACATAAGGCAAAGGCGGCAATTCGTATTCCAGGGACGGCCTGTCAAGCCCATGGTACGGGGGCGCAATCCCACTCCAAGCTGGTTGTAACACTATGATTAACGCCAAGATACTAAATACCATAACAATTATGAGTCTTACAAGAAGCCCATAACCACAGTTGCTTGGCGAATTTCACGAACAAAGCAGACCCGAAGGAGAACGTTGCGAAGAAATACACCACGGCCTCGGTCCACGGCGCTAACGGATCAATAACTAAATCGAAACTTGAATTTCCCAGTGTTAGCATTTAGCGTTTCGAATCGGCCAAAAACGCTCTGTACATTTACAATAATGGAGTATTCGGTCAACTATTTCATTGTATGCTAAAATGTTCTATATATAAAGTTAAAATAACGTTAAAAATCACCGGCACGATTCACCAGAGTCTGGACCATACGGCACGAAGAAAAAGCGCCACATCTCGATTTTTGGCTTTTGTAGCGAAAGTTATGCTGCCATATATCAAAACTGGTCCCAAAGTGACAGCAAATGACGTCACAGAAGCCGAAGTGGCATGGTATTGGTTGTCGCGATCCTGGCGGTTGGGCTTAGAATTGCTAACGAGAGTTCCAAGTAGCATGTACCGAACGTAAGTGTCGCTGTCATCACGATGTCTCAACTTCTGGTTGCCGGGGCTTCCGTCGACTACCACACTCGAGAGCGACCTGCAGCAGAACAGGCGCCTGCAACAGGTACCACACCTAGTGAGACACCACCAGAATCGCGCGTGACGCTAACATGACATTTTTATGACGTCATTAGGCGGAAATCGAGTGACCACTTTTTGGACGTGGTAAACACACCGATCGGAGCAACGATGGGCAGTATACTTCCGGTATATCCGACCGGAAGTACACCGCCCTACATACAGTGGCCCCTGAGTGGCCCTACACATTTCTGCACCGGTGGAGGTGAATTGAACGAAGCTAGTTCTTCACCCTGGCGCAGTTTACTTTCTGGAATTTATCAGCACAACCCGGACCAACCCCACCCACGCTCCCCCATCAACTTTGAGCCAAGCGCTACTTGTACCAGAGCATTAGTGCTCTGCCCACTGATCTCTATTGTAATAGGCTGGATCGCGGACCGCGGCCTCGGCAGCTGGGGCCGAGTGTCGCCACCGGCGACCATTGATTGACACCAGCCAATGCATGGGACTCTATGGGAAGAACGAAAAAAAGTGACGTTTTCCGCTGTTTCTAAGCTGTTGTCGGCACTGAAACTTTTTGAATGCTTTTTGATAAGCCCGTCAAATAGCTTTCGTACAAACATTAAAACTAGCAGCCGTCGCAGTTCTTCTAAATAAATATTTTGTGGTCGAGAGTGACTCCGCTGTAGTGCAGCTCAATGAGGTGAGAGTTACCTGGAGTTACCGCCGAGTCGATGGCGGTTTCGTTGAGTTGGGGTTAGCAGACGACAAGCTCGAAGGCTTTGCTACGCAGAATTCGCTCTTTCCCGGAAAGCCGCTGTCGAGATGGAACTTCTTTGTCATTCATCAACTTCTGGGCTTCTCTGAGGACGGTCTTATTGACGGCAAGTTCCTTTGTTTACTCCACTACGAGAGCAAGCTCGCCAGCTCAGCCGTTGGTGCTCCGGTACGTTTCATTTTTTGATTTGGCGACCGGACGTTTGAGAAATACCGATTCGATTTCCAAACATCCGACATAATGATCGCAGCGCACCATAAAATACTCGCCTTCGAGCACAGCGTACATGCTTCAGTATGCTTACTTTTGTGCGTTTCTCCCATAGACCTGCGTGTATTGCCTGGTGTCAAACAATGGCCGCCGGTGGCATAGAGGCCGGTGGCGACACCGACGGGCTCCCGATCCGCGATCCAGCCTACTAAAATAGAGATCAGTGGCTCTGCCTCTACTTCTCTGGCACGCCCTTTTTCCCCGCTAGGGCATCTTCACGTTGACGTTGAAGATGGCGCTCTTCTTCGAGCAAGCTGTCAAAGTGGCTCTGCGAAATTATCCCAAGTCTACGCTCAAGCCACTGCATTATGGAACGGCAGGAATCAGAGACAAGTGAGTAGGAGTTCCTGCGATCGGTCCCCGTCTCGTGCGTCGTGCGCCCATAGAACAGCTGCGGTGGATCCCCGGAACCGGTCTTGTCAACGGACGTGGCAGTGCGATAGCCGGGTTTATTTATTAGCTAGGCTTAGATAGCCCCGAAGACGCCGATTGTAGCGGTGCATGAACTGGCGACGAAGCACGCTGGGTTCAGCGATCGTAAGGCGTTGCCTTCCCCGCCGATTAAGTCCCACAAGTTCTCCCACTTGGGAGCAGTGGAGTATAATGCCGGCCGTTATCGGGGGCCCACTTTTGCTCTCGTGTCGCAGACGCAGGCTCCGCGGTTTCGGGCTCTGTTGAGTGCTGAAGTCAAGGGACCCTCAGCCCGCGTCAAGGAAAACAGCTGTTGACGGCCGCCGGAGACGCCAAGCATATGACAGCTTTGGAACGCGCGTGTTCAATGCGAACTGCGCTCACTACCGATTTCTGTGATCGCGGTCTGTCATTTTCCCACCTGCACTTGTTGAAAGCCTGATTACAGGTTACGGCAATATCCCTAGGATTTGCGGACGCATGAATACATAATTTGCACTTGATGTCATTTGAGTGTGCTCCCTGCATGTTTGTCGTAATTACTTCGCGCTCGAAACAGGAAGTTCCGACGAACGAGCGCTCACTACGTTTTCCGGGCAGATATCTCGAGCACTGTCATCAAAATGGTCGCATTCTGCTATATTTTTCGAAAATGTGAGGAATTTGCTCCAACTTTGCGCTAATTTCACTTTATAAATACTAAAAGTATAATAGCATAAACCCCGCTGCATTGCCGGATCGATACGGCAAGCTTGAGCGAATGGTCAGAGCTTTCAGTGATCGCCTCAAATAACGTGATTCTCGATTTGATTTCTTTATCAAACACTGACAGTACTCGTAAGGTTTGCAATATTTCTCACGTTCATAGTCCGTTTTGGCGAGTTGTTGAGCCTCGTTGAGTGCGCTTCTCACCGCGCACTGGTGTACTGCAGTGAAGCGACAAGCCACGATTTTGCATGCCTTGCTTCGCGGCAGCGCACCCGCTTGCTAAGGGGAAAGCACTCCTCCAGATTAAGACGTTACAAACGCAGGCACCCGTAAGCATACATAATAAGGTATATACAAATAACTTAGTGAGTGCTGATGCTGCAACTCTACCGTGCAGTAAAATTTCTGAATAAAACAGACTAATATGTATGATAGACTACAATATTCTTACAATCTCCTCTTTTGTTTCTTCAAATGAGCAAGGATACTTAGGCATTGCCATATTTATGTAGACTGCTCTATAGGTTTGTTTTATATGTCTACCCTGTTTTTTAGTTATTACCTTTATATGGGTTTAATTTGTTTGATGGCACAATCAATAGAGTGAATTAAACATAAATTAGCTGGGAAAGTGGATGGAATCTTGAGAAAAACATTAACCAGTTCAGGTAGATTGTTTTTAAGTAGACATATTTATTATTCACATGCCATTTTTTGTTATGAAATTCTATATGAAACATCCTTTATGTTCATAATCCAATTACAAAACCTTTGTTTTGGTTTTAATAGGATTTAAAAACTGCAGTTTTATTGCAATCAATTGGAACTTGAATGGAATTCGGTGCTCAAAGTGATCATATTTTAACATTATTTCAGTGAAATATACTATATACCAACTCAACTCCACAACGTCACGCTGCATCAATAGTGCTTCAGGCGGATTTCGGGTTTGGTGGTGTGGCCAGAAGTTGCCATGCAGGCTGGGCATTGCTGCATTGTTTTGGACAAAACCAGGCTAAAACCTGCCTTTTCGTCAAAATGCCACGACTGGAGCTGCATCATAAGAGCCGGGAGAGGTGTCAAGATAGTTATTCCATGTTTTATGCCTGCCCTGTTCGTCCAAGAATGTAGATAGGCAAAACCAGATGGCGTCGGGCCACGATTGCTTGAGTGAGAAGCAATTTGAGTTGAATTCACTGAGATTTGTGATCTTCAGATTTATTTACTTTTTCTTCCAACATAAAACCGTGTAAACTGTCAAGTTGTTTGAACCAGCCGCTGACCACGTTCAGTTCGTCTTCACGCTCAAACGACCGCCTAATCATTCAAACTGCTGTCTGCTTTTTAAAACTTGTCTGCTTGTTCAAACTGCTGTCTGCTCGTTCAAACTGCCGTCTGCCCATAGACCACACATTGACATGGTAATTGCGATAAGAAGTAAGTGCGGACCTCGAAATTTTTTAAGTTTGAAGGTTGTTTGGGGTTAAAGGGAAGCTACGGAGCTTCTTGGAAAAAATGAGTTAGAAGTGAATTCTAGTGTATTTTTACCCCGTGAACCCGAATACCCAAACCATTTGCTGAGTAAGTATTGTTAAACGCAAGAAAAACGTGAAAGACAGTCGCTGTCCGTGACGTCATCGACGGCTCTTTTGGCTGCACAAGGCTAGGGGGGCGGGGCTTCAGCCCTATTTTGAAATTGCTCGTATGGCTCTCCGGCACGTCGCATTGAAATACAATTTTGATATCTGTTAAATCTAAAGGCTAAATGAACGCAATTCAAGCGTTTTTTCTCAAATGTAGAAGTGCCCCATCTTCCCTTTAAGTAGGCTTGGTGTAAACAGTAGATATAAGGATATGTTGATCATTGTTACCAGTGTCCGTCACCAACTTCTTACGCCCGAATCACATGGTCCGATTCTGATTGCTATTCTAAGTGTGGACGTAGAGTATCGCTGCTATTGTCCCCACTTTTTTTGCAGCCGAAGCGACGTCGCAACTGAAAATAGCGAGCCGAATCTCATTGTGTGAATCGGGCTTTAGCAATCGTTCTGCGGCGTCCACGCTGAATGAATCGCCGCATGTAACATAGTTCACGCAATGTTTTGGGGTGTAACGAGCCTCGTTAATTTCGCAGAGGCCACTAAATTAGTCGGACATTGCTATGAAGATGTAGAATGAACCACTCCAACGCGAAAAAGAACACTGGGGCGCCAACGACATAGCATTGGAATGGTTTGTTGATGGGGGACATTGCGCTTCTTGCCTATGGCGGGAACTTTCTACCTTGGACAACGCTTGAAAGTCTCCTGCCTCTCGAGCGCACGCATGCAGCCAAAGCCTGGAAGGCAAGGAGCGCACGTTGGAGGTCGGGCGTTCGAAAGACATGCCCTGCCGTTCTCACTTTGTCACCTTTGATTTCATATTTAAAGGGGCCCTGCAATCAGGTTTAAGCGTCTAACTTTTTTGCGGTTTCCACGTCTGTCAGGGTTCGGGCAAGCCAGCGGGCACGGAGAGAGTAACTAAATATCAGTGCGTCATATTTTAACCGGACAACGCAGAAATCTCCTCCACCTACAGGGGCGACCCACAGTGCCGAAAGCGCTCTATATGTGACGTCTTTGGTCCTGGGCTTACTAATCGTCGGGGACGCTAAAAGCTTCTTTTTAGTCGAAATACAAAACATAAGTGGCGCAAACCATTTCAACTATTTATAAAAGTAGTTTTTGTTAACTGTTTTAGATCAGAAAAGAAGCAAATGCAGTTTAGAAAGTATGGAAACAAGAAATGACCCGTCGACATACCTACCACCAAGCGGTGGAAAAGGCGGCGCATACTAGAAAGGTGTAGTGTGATAAGGCACTGAAGAATGGCGAGCCTAAATAGGTCTCAGATGTACACGGCGGCGCTGCGGTCGTATGGACAGGAGGATCCGACTGGCTCTGAGTGTTCACAAGGCCTTCGGCGAGCAGCTTTGGCTTGCGGTTTAGCCTTTTGGCGGTATGGCAGCGTGAAGTGGCTCCCGTTCTGAACTGATCTTTACCCCTTGTTTGCTGTCATTTGTGGCCAATGAAGTGTCATGCCGAATTAGTGTTTAATCACGCAGCGAATGCAATGCGAGCCACCCTGGCTGCCTGCTTCATACAGCCTAGACAGAACATGCTTTAGTGGCGCCCTCTCGAGCCGTCGGCCCGGAGTGCGGCAGCCGTGACCGCTCGCTGAGCTCACTACCCCTCCTCTAGTTCACGGCCACTCAAGCAACCAAAGACGTCGTGTAGGAGGTTATTTTTTGCTTGTTTTTGTAATTTAAATTTGCTTATGACTTTTAAAATAAAGCGAAATTCGAGAAAAGAAAAGTTTTATTAAGTTACTATGTTCAGTGCGCTCAGATTCGGTGCAAATTAAAAACCAGTAAAAAAATGAAAGCCGTTTACAACTCCCTGTAATGCCGAATTAGAGCGCAGCTCTTGAGGAGGAGGAGGGAAGGGTAGTGAGGGTCACATGACCTGGGGGGGGGGGCACGTGACTGGGGAGGGGTCACGTGACCTCGAAGGGGGGGGGGGTCACGTGACCCCTCTCCCCGAGGTCACCGAAGGTACTTGAGGTCCTGCCGAGGTCCTCCCGAAAGACCCCGAGGTCCTCCCGAGGTCCTCCTGAAGGAACCCGAGGTCCTCTCAAAGGAACCCAAGGTCCTCCGAGGTCCTCCCGAAGGAACCCGAGGTCTTTCGAGGTTCTCCCGAAGGAACCCGAGGTTTTCCGAGGTCCTCCCAATGGAACCTGAGGTCCTCTGAGGTCCTCCCGAAGGAACCCGAGGTTCTACCGAGGTCCTCCTGAAGGAACCTGAGGTCCTCCGATGTCCTCCCGAAGGAACCCGAGGTCCTCCGATGTCCTCCCGAAGGAACCCGAGGTCCTCCGAGGTCCTCCCGAAGGAGCCTGAGGTCCTCCCGAGGTCCTCCCGAAGGAACCCGAGGTTCTCCCGAGGTCCTCCTGAAGAAACCCGAGGTCCTCCCGAGGTCCTCAGAGGTCCTTCCGAAGGAACCCGAGGTCCTCCGAGGTCCTACTGAAAGAATCCGAGGTCCTCTGAGGTCCTCTCAAAGGAACCCGAGGTCCTCCGAGGAAACTCGAGGTCTTCCAGAGGTCCTCCCGAAGGAACCCGAGGTCCTTCGGGAGAACCTCAAGTTCCTTCGGGAAAATTTACCCATAATGCACCGCGCGGTTACGGCGACGGCGACGCCGCTTAAGCCGAAAACGGGCGCCTAAGAGCTGTGTTCTAAAAAGTCCTTGCAGGGCCCCTTTAAAATAGCCGTTCGCAGCAATTCATTCCCTGGCCCTCATCACTCGGCACCTTGTAGCTGTGCTTGGTGCTTCCACACGTGGCTAAACAGCTAGTTATGTGTCTGAAGGAATCAAACCTGCTGTGCAACTGATGCTAACAAAAGGTTGCACACAAGTGGGAAGGCAAAGTAGACATTGGCTTTTAGTTGAACAGGCGAACGTAATATTTACGGTGATACGAATGAAAATAAACTGTGTGCTTATGCTCCAAAAGTTATTTCTTCTGCTCCAAACTGAATTTTTGGCTTCTCCGAGAGGTGCTCCAAAGTGACTCGGACCAGCTGTATCATTGCTGAGCTATTGATCTTCTCGAGTGTCGAATTAGGCCGATAGAGCCGCAAGGAAGACTTCTAAAAGAGGGGCAGTAATTACATGCACATGCTACAAGCTTTTCGATTGTGCTATGAAATAAGCTTGCTGGACGGACATAGATTTGTTAGCAATGTTTCCTATAAAATGTGTAAAGGGACAGTAACTCAAGCCAACTCCAAATTATGTCACAGACAAAAAAAAAATTGATCTGCCCTTTTACATTGAACAGGATGTTTTGTCACCATTTCTTGAGCCATGCCATTTCTCGAGGAAGTGTCCGCGTAAGCCGTCATGCTTAGTGTCACATTGGAAAGCGCATTTTGAAGCCTCAGCATATGTTCGGCCTCATTTGCTTGGCAGTAATGTTTTGAGTTTTCCGAGCCAGGCAACTCCACTTGAGCCAACGATGCATCAAGTGAGCATTCCAACAAGGAACATTGATGAAGAAAAATGCAATTGCCATTTTTCTTTATAAATATTGATGCTGCTAAAGTACAGTTCTGATACAGTAATTTGTTAGTGTCCCTTCAGGAGAGGTCATGAGCAGGCACATTTTGAATTGGCTAGCATTTCATACGACGAAGGTGGGAATGGCGGGGCGTGTTTTTGGAATGCGGGGCCCCCAATGTGCCTGGGTTGCCTTTGGCCGTGTTTTGGACATGCGTGCATGTGGAGGATCACGAGACAGCCAAGCGTTATCTAAGGCAGAAAGCTTACACTGAAATTCATCCCTGCCTCTCTCTTTCCGTCAATGACTAAAGCTTGCAAAAGGCTGGGTCTCGTTAATATGGACCCTGTTAATATTGATACCCGGCTCTAGAGGCAACCTTTTTGGCGACAGGCGCATATTTGGTCTCATCATTAAGGAAAACCGCCTTATGAACGCTTTTTGAGGGAAATGGAGGCATCCCTATTATTACGAGACCTCACTCGAGTTCCACCTCTGTATCGAGATACTTTTTAAAACTCCATTTGTAGTCCAGTACTAAAATACATTTGCAATGGGATACTTTGCCAGATTTGGGTGTCTCATTACAGTTGTTACCGAAAATTAACTGTAGGTTTTTTACGATAAACTGAAAACCACCTTTTTGGTGCAAGGGTTGCCAGAATTTGTACTATCAGCATGGCACATAACCACCTTTACAGGGAAGAAGCCTGGTTGTCCGGTGTATCAGTCACCAAATTAGAAGAAAAAAAAAATGAAGGTGGTTTGAAGAATGGTCACTTGCAAGAATAGTAGATTAAGCTCCACTCAGAAAGCCCACTATTCTTTCTGCTTTGGCATAGCGAACGCTGTAAAGGAGGCGAGTGGACTGGTAAAAATCGTCATGAACTGTAGAGAACTTGAGTAGAGGCTTATCCTCTTTGCCTGGTACCTGCTCAGGTCCCATGCAGACTACGTCTGGCTTCGTTGTCCAATCACCACTTAATACACACTCTTACAGCAAAAATGGGGTTTATTTCGGGGAGGTGTGTAAATTGACATAAAGAGAGGAATACAAGTTTTATAGTTTGGTATGTATCTTTAGCTATTTACACCTTTTCTTACAGAAGCATCTCGGGGGCATCCCGTTTCATAATAAGACAAATGCATCTTAGTATCTGCTGGTGTTGGGGAATATACTTTTATGGGGCCCCAATCTAGGGGATAAAACTTGCTGCTTTATCGGTATGCCTAAGAATTAATAAGGGATGATGTCTTATTTCTGCTATGTACTGCCCAGTGTACACAGCAGTAAAACAGTAAAAACAACAATCCATGTCAGAATGTTAGGGGTTTACCTTGTGGGATATCGCTACCAACAACAGGTACTGATAGAGTAACCAAAGGGTTGTCTCAACAGCGGCGATATCTCAAAGGAGACGTCAAACCTAGTAGTGCGGTCCCCACATCTCCGCGGCAATATAGGCGATCGTTTAGGGCTACATTACCACGAGTCTGTTCGATTAATTACCGTATTTACTCGCACAATGAACGCACTCGCGTAATGAACGCACCTCCCAAGTCGGCTCACAAAATTTCGACTTTTTTTTTCACCCGCGTAATAAACGCACCCCCAACTCCGACGTCAAAATTTTGACCCCCTCCCCCCACGCGCGCGAAATGAATGCACTTTTTTATCCTGGTGCAGCGAGGTCGCGAATGCATGGGCGAACAAAACGCCTTGCAAAAGGCGTAAAAAAATTCAAAAAGAGCAAACCGAAGCAAGAAAAAAGAAACATGGAGAGCTTTTTTTTTTTTTTTTTTGCACAGCGCAGTCTGGACTTCGGGGTCGCGTGCGGCGCGCAAGCAGGTAAGAGAAGCGGAGAAGCCCTCTAAGCAAACGAAACAGCTTGCAAAAGGCGGCAAAAAGAAAAAAAAAAAAAACCACGAAACTAAAAGAAAAAACAAAGCTTTTTTTTTTTCTTTTTTGCACAGCGCAGTCTGGACTTTGGAGTCGCGCGCCGCGCGCAAGGAGGTAAGAAAGAGAAGCGGAGAAGCCCTCTAAGCAAACGAAACAGCTTGCAAAAGGCGGCAAAAGGAAAAAAAAAAAAAAAAAAACACGAACTAAGAGAAAAAAAAAACAAAGAGGAGCTTTTCTTTTCTTTTTTTGCACAGCGCAGTTTGGTTACGGAGGGGGGGGGGGGGGGGGGTCGCGCGTCGGGCGCCGCGCGCAAGGAGATAAGAACGATAAGCGGAAAAGCACTCGCCTAAGCAAACGAAACAGCTTGCGAAAAACAGGCGGCAAAAAGAAAAATGCCCAAGGAACTATGAAAAAAAACAAGAGGAGCTTTTTTTCTCTTTTTTTGCACAGCCCAGTTTGGTTACGGGACGCGCGCCGCGCGCAAAGAGATAAGAAGTTACGTCGATTTTTCGTGATAAAAAGTCCGTTCATTATGCGAATAAACACGGACGAAAAAATTTTACTTCGCGTAATGAACGCCCCCCCTAACTTTGCATCGATTTTTCGGAAAAAAAAGTGCGTTCATTCTGCGAGTAAATACGGTACCTCCGTCGGTGCCAATGATCGTCTACCTTGTCTCACTCTATCGAATATAGCGGAAGAGAAGACATACGTAGCAGAGTAAGGACAGAGTCCAAGAGCATTTATTAAAATAATCTTCTAAAAGAACTACTAGGTCCCCATCCAAAATGCCCCCCGTGCCGGCAAGGTAAGAAAAGGTCCTTACCTGGCCAGACGCGGGGTTCCGGAGAGCCAAGACCGGGGAAGCATCGGAGAAGTCGCCGACACACATCCCATCTCTTTCGCGGTCACCCGGACGAGTCCATTTCCCGAAAGCGGGAAAAGTCGAGGCGAAAGCCTCCTCGCCTGTTAGCAGTGGTTCGCATCTGAGCAGGGGAACGGAAATCGGTCTGCCTGAGAGAGAGTGAGGGCAGAGCCCCCCAAGCCAAGCGGCCCTCCGCCTCACGAACAGGTCGGAGCTCACGGCGAAGGACACCGAGTGTTCCGACCCGCAGCCATTGGGGTAGGGAGACCACAGGAATCCGCACAACCTTTTCATCATGCGGCCATTGCCACTCCACCTTCCCCCAGCCTGGTGTAGAAGGGGATGCCCTCATTAACTTTGGGCAGTCCACAAGGGTGCACTGTGACATTGATAATTGAGAATCGCGGCTGTATAGGATAATCAATAAGCAGTGAATCCAGCATTCTAGAAGTTCAAGGAACATCTGTTGAAACTATGTATGCCTTGTCATTTTCATTGCCAAAAATTTGAGTTTTTCTCGTGAAACGTTGCTTACTCTAGACTGCGAAATCTTTTCAGAGGCGAAATCTTGGGCTCATGCATGTTCCGTATGGGCATCTTGGCTGCCTTGCGGTCGAAATACAAGAAAGGTATGTCACTTTCAAGCTACGAGTAGATACTGCATTCTGGAATGCGGCTGATCTTCTCTTCCAATGCTTTTTTCTGGAGTAGCCACAGTTGGGGTCATGATAACCGCATCGCACAATCCAGAGGACGACAATGGCATCAAGCTCATTGACCCTATGGGTGAAATGATGGAGACGGACTGGGAAATTTTGGCTACAGAACTGGCCAACACTGCGTGAGTGACTGTTCGGTTCTCTGTTTGGATTGTTGGATATTTTCTGGTCGTAGGGTTCTCCAGCCTTTTCATCTGGAACGAGGAACCCTCCCCTCTTGGTAGTTCAAAGGGGCTCTGCTAACAATAGCATGCTAGGCGTGTGACTCGTAGTTGGGCATCATGCATGGCTCGGACAGGCTCAATGAGTGCTTGAAAACACTTAGGGTAGGGACAAGTACGAGAAACTCCAAAGTGTTCCTTAGCCTGGCTGGTAGTGTAATCATGCAGTGCACTCAAGCCTGTTGTTCCCTGTGTTGACACTGAAACACTTGTTTCAATGTGAACTCTACATTTATATACAGGGTGTTTCTTGAAACACGGGTCAGACCGTCCTTGCAAAACGTATGTATTGCACTGAAAAAAGGGCCAGACCGTCCCTGGCCGTATAACTCACCTCCACAAGCGGCATAAGTGTAACTTTCACGGCTTTTTTTAAACAAATCTGTTAAGCTTCATAAAAACACCCTGTATATATACCAGCCGTGCCATGGCACGGCGGCAGCGCTTTTCCTGCACTTTCAGCAGAGCTGTATATGTAGAGTGCTCAATCAATAGTTACAGCAAGGGAAGGTTTTTTTTCTTACCCTGTCTGGGCTGTTAATGAGCACGCATAGGTAAAAGAACACTTGATGCTGTCAACGTATGATCGTCCTAGTGGGAAGCACTTTTTTAAGGTGAGGATTCACCCATAACCTAAGAGCATCTTCTAATGACCTAGACCACATGATTAAACTGTCTTTGCATTCGAGAAAGTATGCGTCCGAGGCTCTGGGAAATAGCCGAGGTGCTGCAGGGAAGGGCATCACCAGGTGGGCTCGGGCAAGCTCAAGAAATGATAGCTACAGCTTTTCAGACAATACAAAATATGCTAAATTTAAATGGCAAGAAAGGCTACAAATTGCAGTGCTCTAAATAAATAAAAAATAACTCAAGTTCAACCACATAGCTTCAACCGTCATGGCATGCCTGCCATTTGGTGAAGCAGTTTCTGGATGTTGTAAAACACAGGTAAATGTAGCAGGTACTGCAGGTGACATTTATTTTGTGCTCATCTGCGCACTCCTTGTAACCCATCTTGGAGTTGCACCGCTTCTCCATACCATTTTCGGGGGAGGGGCCTGGACTTTCACGCAAGGCCAGCAAAGAACATGTGAACATTTCAAAGCTGAAATCAAAACAGGTCTTACCTATGCTCAGTTGTGATTGTTCCGTGCTTATTTGACGAATCATCGCTGACGGAACTAAAATCGGATAATCTGACGTCATCTTACAAGTCACTCGTGCTCGTATCGTCTCAACAAATTTGACTGCAGAGACCCTCGCCAGATTTGAAACGCTTCCGATAAGGCACGCGAAGAAGACGCCTTGTTTGCAGTGCAGAGCACTCTTCCTTGGCTGTGTGTTTGGTATTGATAAATTACCGGCTCGTGGGAAAAAAAAGAACTATGCAGAAGCTGAAACTAGAGTGTCTATTCTAACCACAAAATGCTGTAACTTGTCCAGAATTGCATCGGAGGCTTTGTAACGGTGCTTGCAAATCATCGATCACGGCTGATCGATTTTGATGGGCGCGGTACAGAAAGAGTTAAAAGAGCTTACTAAAACCAGCTGATTCGCTCCTTTTGAACTACCGAGTGCAATGAACAGAAAAAATAATTTGTGTGAGACCGTATTTTATTTTAAAATCTGCAAATCACAAAAAAATGCCATTTTCAAAGGAATAATACATCTTTTTTTTAAATTTCCGTAAATATAATAGTTATACTTTCTTTTGAATATTAGTTAGTTGCACTCTACACATCCTAAGGAATATGCTTGCCAAGTTTGGTTGTGATAGGACAATATTAAGAACAAAAAGTCTTGTGCACAAACTGTGAAGATGCCCCAAAGTTACAAAACGAGAAGAACGTGTTCGAAGAGTATCATAGATGTGGAGCGACACTCTTTCGCAATAGAAAAACAAGATTTTTTTTTTATAAATTTTTTTGTGAGAAATTGAAGCTAGTGAAGATTGCAAAGAAGTGGAGACGGCTAGACCTACCTTTCAAAATAAATGTGATGGCGGGTGACACACAAATTGAAGATCTGCACAAAGAAAACTGGCTCAAATGTGTACGGTACCTTTCTGGGTGGCTGGTATTTTTTTAACTCTGTTTTTGACTAATTTCACAATCATAACCGGTCCTTATTATGTTTACACATAACATATGAAGATTAAAAGATAATAAAAACACCAAAAATCCCGAAATCACATTTTTTAATAATATTGCCCTTTTTCAACCCGCTCTCCCCTTAACTTTTTCCGTACAATAGGAAAAGGGGTGACTTTTGAGTGAACTAAACATTTTTTTATTTTAAGGACTACTCAGCATATAGCCAATATGATACATCAAAATATAGCCAATAAACTTGTTCATAAAAAAAGAAAAAAGAAGTTTTAATGCCTGAAAAATGTTTGTCAAATTTTGATGCTGAACTTGTAATTTGAGCAAAAATGCAAACAAAAGGTTCAAACATGTGCAGCTATATTAAATCATCCTAGAATTTTTAATAATCCTAAATATTCAAAGTGTCCTCATACACACCACTATCACTTCTGCAAGTTAGAGAACTCATACTTTGATGGTCCTTCTGCAAGTCTCTGGTGTCGCGCCAATCAGAGACGCTGTTGCATGCGTGTGGGTGCATGTCCTTGAGAAAAAGTTTTGTTTTCGCCCAAAACCTTGGTTTGTCATAGCTCTGCTCTAACTTCTCATCTGCTGGTATGCGGCACTGATAAGATGTTTGCCCTGCCTAAGGGGTACCTAGGAAGCTAGGATGACACTTTCCGATCAACGCCTGTCGATATTCTGCGCCTCAAAGTTGAAACGTCGCTGTAGGAGCTCAAATCAAATGATCCAACATGATCCAAGTCCTCAGTGCTGCTGTAACCCCCCAAAAAAACAAGCAGTGACAGCAGGTAAACTGTTCGGTTGAGGCTTTCTTTGTAGTGGTTCCCAATGTCAGCGGGACACCATGTTTGACAAGTGCCACCTTCACGCAGTGATTTATTTCTGAGAGCTCACCGGCTTGGGAAAGTGCAAAACAGAATTGAAACCAAAGCTATAGTTTTTCGGCTATCCATGAGATGGCACGTGTTTCTGGGTGCGAAATTTGAATTTTGGCGGCCTGTGAAAACGATTGATCACGGGTGATTGATGGCCAATGGGCGTGGTACGGAAAGAGTTACTATGAAGTTAAAGGAGCTGTGCAACAATTTCAGTGCTTTGCTTAAATAATTTGGAAGTTGGTGTCTCGACCTTTCTGAAGTAAAGAACCAAAAACCGCATTTGCCTGCATGTCCTAGTTTTTAAAAATTGACGAAGATTGAGGTTTTCGACACCTCTTAACTCCTTCACCATCTTCTGAATCACGCGCGCTGTGACGTCACTGGGGGGCGTGCAAGGTTCCGGTGAAGCTCTCTCACAGAGCCATCAGTGAGCAGCTTGCGCAGTGCTATCGAAATGACGAAAGAAGAAAAGTCTCGTCTGGCTCTGCTTCCGTCCCCCTCCGGCTTCTAGCGGCTGTTCGCGGTAGCATATAGAGCTGACGGTTTTGTTGACCTCGGATAGATGGCGCCACTAAAACTGTATAATAAAAGTTTTGTCGATGATGCCAGGTTTTTGACACATTTATATTTATGTTGGAACAACAAGATTTATAGAAAAATTATTTTTCATTGAGCAGGTATTTGCACAACTTTCTATCTCTTTACAAGTCCCCCACTGACGTCATGCCGCATGGTTCTCATGGCCGCCGCTCACTGCTGCAGATCGGGAAATATTTTAACTTTTGTCTCGTGATTACTCGGCGGAATCGCAACATTTCAAAGGAAGGAGAAGCATTTTCTGTCCTGTGTGAGAAGATAAACAATGTCAAAAGTAAAAGATCCAAATTCTTTCAACATTAAAATTGTTCCACAGCTCCTTTAAGGTCAGTTCTTTTATTCACTGCTGGGACTCGGTTTGGACTGCCTGCCTGAGCCTGGTTGCTTGTGATTTGACAGGGATGGCTCGTTGAGGTCGGTCCTCGATCGGATAGTGGCTGCCACTGACACGGAACTGTCTGAGCCATCTACAGTGCTCCTTGCGCACGACACCCGGTCCAGCAGTCCGCACCTGGCACAAGCTGTTGCCGATGGGGTCAAGTCCGTCGATGGCACTGTCAAGAACTTGGGTACGTATGTTGCAGAATTTTTCCCTGCTGACAAAAGCAGACATGCTTGCTGACAAGATGATCGTGTGTTCTACTTCTGGGGCCCAAGTTTTTCTTTCTTTTCATGTGCAACGAGGCATTTCTCACAAACATTTGTGTGTGCACGAAGCATTCAGGGGTGTCGTTAGACGGATGTGGTAATTGATATTGATAATTACTTTTACTCGGGAGATGCTATGCCTTCCTTTGGGGCGCAAAACTTGGGATTCTTTTGGTGTCTGTGGCAGAGCAGGATGTAAATTCCACATTTTCGTGCCAGGTAGAGGCCAAAGTTCAGTTAGGACAAACATGAAACGTGAATGAGCCGTGTTCTTGTGCTTCTCGTTCATCTTGCCTGAATTTGTTTAAGTTGTTTTCCAAAGATTCTCCTGGCCAAAATGGCTTTGTAGTGCAGCTATTGTTGGCAAAATATCTATAGTCCGTTGCAGCCTGAGAACGAAGGGCGAGGGAAAGGAAGGCCGGGGAGGAGGAAGCAGATGGAACGCTGGAGAAGAGGGGGGAACCTCCTTCTCTCTTTAGAATTCCGTCTGCTTCCTCCTCCCCGGCCTTCCTTTCTCTCGCCCTACCTTCTTGAGTTGCAACGGACTATAGGTTTCTTGCTTCCATGCTTTCTTGAACTACCTAGTGTTCTGTTATTCCAGGCTGCCTTACAACACCACAGCTCCATTACATTGTCCGGTGTACCAATGACCCGCATTACGGAGAACCAACTGAAGATGGCTACTTCAAAAAACTCACGAAGGCATTTACCCAGATTCGAGCTAACGTAAGTTTTGTTGAGGATTGAGCGGGGGAATGATTTTGGTGCTCTCTAGGGAGTTGCGGGATTGCAGCGAAGCTCTAGCCCAATGATCAATGTTTATTGTTTAGATGAGCAGGTAAAGGGCAGAAAAAGCTTCCTTCTCTGCTTCAGCACAACTTGCAAAGAAGTAGAGACGATGCGATAGCAAGTGACATTGTACATAAAAAAGAGCATTTTTCAATCCCTTCTTCGTGCTTTTAGAGAATGAGGCTGTTTCTGCGGTGCTTCGCCGCAGACTACGTTGAAGTGGCGTCTCGACATTTCTTCTATAAATATCATAATTCTGCCGATTTCATTGAGACTTTTTCCCTCACTTATCCCTTGGTTGTAGCAGAACAAGCCCAGCTTGCTTCTCTGTCCCTAGCTAAACGCTGTTATCTTGCAAAGACAACCTTTTTCTTTCGAGGCATTTGTGAAGACGACAGTTCCAGCAAGCATACATATTCTATCGTAGGATGAATGACCGGTACTGGCTGTATCCTTATAACCGGTAGCTTGTGCCACCTAGCCTACAAGCCCCCCTCCTTTATATTTTGCTATAAATCACATCTCTCGTTAAATCATCCACCCCCTCAATTTTGCGTATTATCACGCTTCTCTAGAATTGCTCGATGAATCTGCTAACCTATTCTTTGTGACTGCAATCCTTTGCTCCTGAAATCTCCCATCGTCGCCAGCCAACACTCCCGCCAAATCAGTGAGCTCTTTAGGGAGAGCAGGACAAAGCCCCGTGCACTTGAAAACACATGATCTAGCTGCAGTGGTTCTCAACCACGAATGTTTCGGAGACCCGTTCTGGATCAGCAGAAGTGATGGGACATCCACAAGGGGTGGGGGTTGAACTTTGAAGAAACTTTGAAAGAGAGAATAATCAGCCATAGTCATTTGGCACACATGGTTTGGTCTATTTAGTTTTATGGGATAGCCAGGATTATTGCTTGGCTTCACTGACATTTGAGGACTTCGGGAACCCTAAGAAGACCTTCAGGGACCTCCAAGGGGTCCACAGGCCCCGATTAGAGAAGCACTCCGCTAGCGTCTCACTTTTACCATGGCATGTCTATCTGTTCAAAATTTAGCCCTATATATCTTTGTCCTTAACACTCCCATTCTCACCTCAAACAGTAAAGAGATACCCCATGAATTATCAAACACATGTTCCTTTCCTATGGGCTCTTTTTGTGACTTGTGCATTGCTAAAGCTCATTTGTCTTTTATTCCTCCCTCCCACATTTTATTTTCTGCTTTTGCTCTCTTTTCTACTGAACTAGTCTGCTCAGCCCCAGCATTGGTACGTAGGTATTTAAATGTCAGCTTTCAAGTTTGGTTTGTTCATTTTTGTGTTTAAAACTTTCAGATAGAATTGCTTGCATTCTTTCGGTGCCTACCGGATATCCTTAATTTATTTTAACCTTTGTTCAAATTTCAGTTTGATAATTGCCCCTCTGCTCTAAAGTATGATAAGGCCATGCCCCCTTCTAGCCTCTCATTTAGTGCATTCCCATGTGCTGCCCGTTCCATTCTGTCCACGGTCCTTCGTCAAATTTCCAATCCTGATTGAACCTCTTTCCTCATGCACTCCATTGCCGAAAGAGGCCCCATTACTCTTTTCCATATTCCCCGGACTACTTCCTGTCTGTTAACTTAGTTTTATATTAGCTGAAGTTATTTTCCCTTTTCTAAATATAATCTATTTCGTTCACTCATTGAGTCACATTTCCGAAAATTTGCATTTTTCTACACGGTCTATTACTTGCTATTTGCTTGCTATTTGGAAGTTGTTGTTTCTTGTGTTCCGTCCCTTTGTTCCTTCCTCGTATTCAGTACCGTTAACAACAGGCTTGTCTTTTAGATACGTACGGGCCTATTACAACGTCTGGTATTTTCAGGGGTTCCCTCTTTTCGTCGTTAAACACCATTATTCCAGACTTGTCACTATAGTAACACTCAGGCCCAAAATTACCCCTTCCTTTCCACAAATCTCAATTACAGTGATGGATGGGGCTGCACCATTTGTGCCATATTGTGCCATGTACACAAGTCTGCTACATCTTGAACCAAAATGTAATTTTTGCTTCGGATTGCGCCACACCTGCGCCGAGATGAACTTAGACGATGCAAAAAGTATAAATATTTCCTTGCTCGACCCTAATATCGAAAGAAGTTGAAGCGAAGGAAAATTGTCCACAATGTGTTTTTGCAGTATCTCTACTCATTGTGTACTTTGTTTCACCTTAAGTCAGGGCACAGTTGAAGGTTCAAACACATACAACCATGAACAGACATACTGGAAGTGCAAGTCATGGGGCATTCGCTGCGCTCGATTAGTTTAGCCCGGGGGTCCCCACCCCGTGGGCGATATTGGGCCTGCGGAGGCCTTCCGACTAGCCCGTGGCTGGCCGCCATCCTTGCAGTGTCCAACACCTCTTAGAAGCTAAGGCCGTAGCGCTCTTTCGTGATGTCGCAAAGGAAGGACATAGGGGGCACGCGTCAAAGTGCCGAAGCAAAGTGTAACAGCGCTCTTTTAGTCACACTAGTGTGTCTTATGAGCTAAAATGTAAGCTGCACATAGTAACGGGGCTAGAAAACGTTTTATTGCACAAACAAAATATTACGCAGCTAAATAATTGGTAGGAAACGGCACGGGGTATACGTATAAGACGTCTACAAAAATATGTGATTTTTTCAAGTCGAAAACATTGAGCCAAGCAGTTATTGCTGTAGGGATGCATATTTCATGCAGAATTACTTCCACAGAATGGCGAGACATGCAGTGATTGGACGCAGTAAAACGGATGACAGTAAAAATTAGGTGGACGTAGTCAACGCAGTCACGGCTAGACAAGTGTCACTTACAATAGACCCTTTCCGAAATTCAGTGCCATCTGGTGGTTTGTAAAGCAGTTTAGGTTTTGCCATATCAATGGCGGAAATGAACTTGTATCGGCACCGTCCCTTTCGCAAGTCAACGGCACGCGAGGAATTGTTCGGAGTGAGTTCTTTCTCAATCATTTTCAGTTCGATGGGGACCAAGAACTTGCATTCAGAATTAAGCTCCAACCCACTCAGATGCCTCGAGAAAATTCTATACACCAGTGTGCTTTAAAGCCGATTGTATGCCGCCCACAGATTGACTGAATCTGAGTTATTAGAAATAAACGCTTATGTAGCTCTTGTGTTCCATTCCTACGTCGCGTCGTACTGACCGCCCGAATACAGGCCTCGCAAGATCCGCTTAGGATCATCTTCAACGCCTTCCTTTATCAATCACTAGAAGACCGCCATTGGTATGGCACAGATGCTGTTCCACAGATGATGATAGTGATCAAAGTGGCCAGACTGAATTTCGGAAAGGGTCTATTGTGTAAGCAATGTTAATGTATGCAGTCACTGAATTCTTTCATTATACTCTGGCCACATGGCAAAATGAATGTAATTTTGATCAAATGACATCATGGGGTCGGCAAATCAGCTCGTAACGCTCGTATAGTCACTCAGGATTCCAAGCTGATTCAATCCCATAATATCATTTAATGAAAAGATATTAACTTTTCTGTGTACATTTACAGTCAACTACTAATCCACTTCTCCCTATGGGCTTAAGGTGCCTTAGAACAAAATATAATTGATTTTTTTATTCAATCATACTATTACCTTAATTACCTTACCTTAGGATTGTTGTATTAATGCAACGCGTTAAAGGCAATAAAATAACATGAGTATTGATAAACACCATAAGCGCAAACAACAAACTTTCAATTATCGCACATAAACTTGTTATTCACCTTCCAATGAAAACTTGAATGTTACCACACGTATTTACAAATGTTGACGCAATTGCACTTGGATAATGAAGAAGAACGAGATTCCATTTGATCGCGAGATTAAAGCAACCGACTGCAACACTCTACTCGCATCCTACATGACCAACAAGGCCCGTACATAAGTTGTTTCTCACCTGTCTATCATATTGCCTTGCGCGCAGCTAGCCAAGTAGGCAGCGTGCGCGTGGCCTAACGGGTATTGTGCCTGCCTCCCACGCGAAAAGCCAGGGTTCAATCCCTGCCGACTTTAGAATGGAGATCTTTCAAGCCTGCCAAGACGACCCGACGTCCGGACACCTTGGTTACAGCCGTACGCTGGCCCGAATTCGTGAAAGGTATTACTGGCCCAAGCTGCCAAAGACCGTTCACCTCTACACATGATCGTGCCACGAGTGTCAGCGATGCGAGAATACGCCGACGAAGCCGGCAGGTCTCCTGCTGCCGATTGCTCCCCCAACCGCACCGTTCCAGCAGATCGGAAGGATCTACTCGGTCCTTTCCCACCATCGTCGCAAGGAAACAGGTGGAGAATTGTCGCCACAGATTATCTCACGCGATACGCCGAAACGAAAGCCCTTCCTTAGGGACTGCTGTGGAATTCGCCAAGCTTTAGGGGCGAAGCTCCTTAGGGTTTAGCCCCGTCCATCCGGCCGGTGTCTGTGCTCACATAAAAAGAAAAAATGTTTGCGCAGTCAACAGGATTCGAACCTGTGCGGGGAGACCCCAATAGATTTCTAATCCATCGCCTTAACCACTCGGCCACGACTGCGGGACGAGTAGGTGGCTCTGAGATGTGGTAGTAACTCAAGAGCTGGGGATGTCATGGATGAAACGTTGCATGTAGCCGCTCAATGTCTATACAGGAGAGGGCGCTGCGGTCAAGTGTGTATATAATCGCGTTAAACTTTGCATGCATTGGCTCAACGTTTATAGACGAGAGGGCACTGTGGTCAAATGCTCAACAATGCTCAACAAAACCATCGACGACATGATCTCCATGTACGTCGACGTGGAGCACAAGACATGGGACGAGGTGTTGCCATACGTTACATTTGCCTACAACACGGCCGTGTAACAGACCACCGGGGTGACACCCTTTCAACTGGTTCATGGTCACAAAGTAGCGACAATGCTGGACGC